GGTTGGACTGGATGGTCTTTCGAGGTCCCTTCCAACCCCTAGGATTCTATGATTCTATGAAAACAGGAAATCAGGTTATATATCCTGGCCTAAAAGCCACAGGTGCCTGCATTTGCTTGACTGGGGAGGATGAAACCTCAGCATGCAATGTTATAGGAGCACTCCCACAGTGACTGGACTGGCTGGCTGGGTCCAGAGGAGCACTGGCAGTTAAGTAGATTTTCGTGTTAGTTCAACCTGCTCAAAGGCAGGTTTGGAGGCATGAGAGGTGGGGCTGAGCATGCTCTGTGGCTGCAGCAAGGCCTCAGAACTGCTGCACAGTGTCTTCACCCCAGTGAAGGCACCCCAATGCCTTGTCTCCCCTCCCCATCCCAGGTGCAGCTTGCAGAGAAGGTGCTAAAACCCAAATCTTTTCCTTTGGGCTGCCTGCAGAGGTGGGAGCTGCTGCTTCAGGGTACCCAGCACACGTGGGGCCAGGCACTGAGCTGCACAGCCGGAGTTCCCCTGTCGCTGGGCCAGGTTAGGGCAGGTTGTGTGGGCAATTGTCCCTGAGAAACAGGCCAGCATGTAACACCTGGAGGTACTTCAGTCTCATATTTTAAGATGTGAACAGCCATGGCCTTGCTGATTCAATGAGCAGCTGAATCAATCATTAATCTTCATATGCACACAAATATTGTTCAGAACAGGTGATGCGGGCAAATAAAACCTCTTCAACAGGTGCTGCAGTTGCACTTCCCAGTTGTGGGTAGATAATTCATGTCTACCCCAGACCAGGTCTGGGTCTTCTGCTGGACCTTTCTGACATCTTTGAGGAAGGCCTTCCCATTGTAAAGCAATCACAAATCCTCAAAAATACATTTTACATCATGGTCCTTATCCCTCACCAGCAGCTTCACACTGCTGGGTGGTCAACCCCAGCCCAAAAGCCTGAAATCTCTCACCTCTGACACAGCTGATAGCTCACCTGGGAAGCGAGCAGCCTATCCCAAGCAGAAACGTGGTATGGGCTTGGGTTGTTCTTTTGAAGTCCACATTTTTATTCCTCTCCCCGGCTCTGTGGTGCAGTCTCTCCTGCTGTCAGTGTCTGTGCCACAGACTGTGCAGCGATGGGGTGACTGAGGGCAGCCTCCCCGTCTGTCTGCTTGATGCAAAACCCCATTCCAGCTCTGCCACTTGTGTACACAAAGCCTCCTCCTTGCGAGGAATGATGTAATAGCACGCTGGAAGCATTGCAGGGGAGAGGCAGCAAAGACTTGAGGTATTTCTGAACGTGCTTAGAAGCCTTGTTCCCGTGTGCTGCATGCGGGGGGGGGGATCTGCCGCGCTGCCCAAGCGCCTGCTCAGGGAGGGCAGCACAGGCTCAGGGCTCCGTGTAATCACAGTAACAGGGGAGAGGAATAAATGTGAGGGGAGAGATGTTAACAGCTGATTGCAAACCTCATGCAGAGTCAGGAGCAAGAACAAAAGGCCAAGTCCCACTACATTTTC